TGTCACTGTGTGCATGTTCGCAGAGGATCACAGTAGCTCAGCCTTCAAATTTAGACTTTTTTTTGTAAACTAGGATCTCCCTCACAGAGTTGAAAAAGATGACATTAATATCTCCAGTCATCAAAGTGCGGTCGGTTCCACTAACACTCAATGGAGATGTGAATTTGTGGCTTAAGTCAAAGTGGTCTTGAGCTCAGTGCCCTTGTCTGACGTCTACCAGTGCAATTCTATCAACCGTCACAAACCTGCCTTAAAGTAGACAGTTTAAACATGTTCCAACATTTTTCCTAAACAAAAAAACAGCCTTTAATGTTTGATCCCAACACAACGATACCCGTAATTTCTGGTACAAACATGAAACAACTCCTATCTCAGGGGTGTGATGTCATTGTACCACTATGACATCATGCTCAGAGAACTTTTCTGTCCTCTAAAACAAGAGAATTGCACGTAAAATAGTTATGGTAATCTGGGGAAATCTGATGTGAAATGACAGTCTTTATAATCCCATTCTAAAACTCTAAATGACAAGTAAATAATCTGATTATCAAGTTTAATGGCCAAAAGTAATGCGTAATTTTTCTTCTTTCAAAATAAAAAACACATGAGTATTTTAATTCGTCCAATTTCTTCTAGACAAGGATTATGAAATATTGATTTTCTTCTTTGTGGCTTTCCATTTTCTTGTTAACGTTAATTGCACGAAGGACCAAACATACTTGAGAGCTTTTACATACGCAGCAATCCTCACAGTGGCACTTAGAGCGTGTATCTTTCCGGATATGAATCATCTCCTGAGTGCTGCTTCCTGTTTTGCCCTTGTCCGCTCTCCCGGCCGTCCTGATATAAAGGCTAAACCCAGGGCACTGTTTATCACACCTAACAAGCTTCAGAAACCTGCCGGAGCAATTCAAATACCAAAACCTCTGCCATGGTGAAGCATGCAGATGTAGCGGTCACTCATTTAGATATGCAAATGTTGGCACCAAACCAACAGAGCGCAACAATAACCCTGTGAATAATGGAAATGTGTTCAAAGCCTTGTCTATATTTGTTTTTTGAATATAATTTGCTATTCCTGTTTTTGATTTATTAATTGCTGCGTTCGGTGTGTGCTTTTGTTATTGCTGTCGTCCCTTGCTTGTTTGTCTGGACCAATTATGGTTGATCCTCACAGGACTCCAGTCGTCAGATGTCTGCTCATAATATATTGATTCCTTTCATCTTAGGTTGCCGCTTTTACATTTGTGTGTTCAATTGTGTGTTTAGTGTTGAAGTTAGAGACATGGGGGAACAATGTGGTGTTGAAAATGCAAAGATCTCATTTAGACTGCTGGTCTATTTGCACAAATGAGAGGCGAGACAGGAAAAGGAACAGTAGTTAGAGCCTTTTTAGTTGTGTGAATAAAAATGAATGCCAAAGCATGAAACACACAGATCATGAAATCATTTATGAAGAAAAACATAGTAGCCTTCGGTATAATTTATGTAGAATATGAAGAAATGTAAACAAAATAACAATAATAATTGCACACATACAGCAATCAGAAGTTCCGCGGATATTTTCTTCTGGATAATCTCTACTGAATTCTTCAAAATGGCTTAGCACAAAGCTATTCACAGAAATGTTATACCTCATGCACCAAATGCATAAAAATGTAATGCAGTTTGTCACAATGTGTCAAAACCAGCAGGAAGTCCAGCGCTCAAGGATAAAGCAACATTATGCATTGCTTTGTAGTGCCTCATTTGACCAGGAGGGTTCCATGGTCAGCTGGAGTCTCATTTATAAAAGACAGTATCAAATTTTACTTCCATGGTGCATTTGGAAAGTGTATATCTCAGGTAAGTCGATTTATTTTATTTCACAAAACCCTTCACACGCACTGTACACATTGTACACATTGGCACTGATGGTTGTCTTCCTGGAGGGTCTCATTTTCTCAGAGTAATGCTGAAGCTCAGTCAGAGTGATTATCTGCTCGCCTGCCTGACCATTGCACACCTGCCCCAAATGCAGATTGGAGGGGCCTGGTGATTTCGAACTTTGACGTTCCCCAATGATGGAGGCCAATGAGCTCTTCACAGCCTTCAATTGTTTTATATCCTTCCATAGATCTGGGCCTTGATATATTTCTGTCTCTGAAGTCGACAGACAGTTCCTTAGATCTCAGGGCCTTGTTTCTGCTCTGACAATCACTGTCAGTGGTGGGGCCTTTAAAAAAAGTAGTGGGACCTTTAAATAGACATGTCTGTCCTTTTCCAAATGAAGTTTGTGCTCCAGTCTTTGAGTTGTTGAAAATCTCCACGACAGAGGAAATAGGTTGCATGATTTAAAAGGGTGTGAATACTTAGGTTAATGTCATTTTTCAGTTTTAATAAAAACAAAAAAATCTAGGGTATCCTGGAAAAACATACAAATTTGGTCAAATTTGAAAGGAGGGAAGACCAGAAAATAAATGAAAAAGGAGAAATGAGCCCATGGCTACAATCTGGGGAATTTACAGCACAGTTGTTCATTAATACACAGTGTCCCAGCAAAATAAACAAATACATGAATACATACTTTCAGAATGCAACGTAAAAGTAAAAAAAAAAAAAAAAAGTAATTGTAAAATCAGAATCATTGAATGTCTTTTTACATAATATGTTAAGTTCCGGCTTCCACCGTACATTGGTGATGAATAGAAGGATTAAGGTATTACTGGTGAGACCTGGAGCATGTCTGACCCACTGTGAGTGAGTGATGTGAGAAGATGGATTAGAAAGCAGATGATTTGACTTGAAGTTCTCTGGAAGTGGAAAATCAAAGGCTGTCTGCTTCTTTTACTGTGATCATGATCCCATCACCTCGTCTCTTATACAATTTAGAGCAGCCATTTCGATCAACCTTGTGCAAATGCAGGCATGCTGCTGCCTTGAGTATATGATTCAAGCCTTGCAAGGAGGATCCTGCATGACCAGCTCCACACTTTTTCTATTAATCGAGCCAAAAAGCAAAAGGAGAGAGTTTAATTTCCTGTGTTTATGGCTCTGTACAGCAGAAATTCTGCTGTTTTTCCATCCTTCTTCCACCTTCGCAACACCGCCCGTCTCCGCCCCTCCCTCACACAATCCACTGCAGAAATCCTCATCCACGCCTTCGTCACCTCCAGACTTGATTACTGGAATAGCCTCCATTAGGGTCTCCCATCCACTTGTAGCATCGAGGGTCAGGTGCGGTCGTGTTACTACCACTAGACATTTATTCACTACCTCACACAAATTGCAACACCACCCTATTGTTTATGTAAGGTATAGGGAAACTCAATTTCTCCCGCAAATAAAAGGACACAGGTTTGGAGGACATTGACGACAGCGAAAATAAGTTATAGAAAAGACAATTTATTATAAGTTAAATTAGTTAAGTCTAATTTAAAATAAGTTTCTACATCAGGCATGCCGTTATGCCAGGCACATTCTTGATCCGTACATATCGTTGGTCCACACAAACGTCACACAGGCATGGAACATGAGGGGGAGAAGAAGAGGCTCGTGCTGATCCTGAAAGCATTAGTCAAGGTTATTCTCCATAACCCGCTCATCCCCCACCACTACGCTATCACAACTTACATTCATGTTGTTACTCTAAGTATCTCAACACAACGAGTGGAAAGACCCCCAGGGCCGGCCTCCCGGACACTCACCAAACTGTAAACAATAAGGCTGTTTGTACACAATACAAGTTGCGCAAACAGCATCACGTTTGGTGGCTTACCGTCTATGAAAGCATGTTTGCACCAATACCGATCAATGCGCCCAACCCACACACGAGCGCACAATCCAGTGGATCCAGCAGTTTGGAGACATGAGTACCTGCGGCACAGCGCGCTGCCATGCTTGTTGACAGCAGAGGTGAGCGAGGGTGGGTCCGACAACGTCAGCCCTTTTTATACAGTGCTCACCTCTGCTAAATAAAAAAAAAACAGGTGGACAATAGACCACACTGCTACACACTCATCTCCAAAAACTGCAATACTTTCAGAACTCTGCCGCCCGCCTGCTCACCCACACCCATTCCAGAGACCATATCACCCCTGTCCTCAAACAACTCCACAGGGTCCCTGTTCCTTACCGCATAAAGTACAAAGTCCTCCTCCTCACCTACAAGTCCCTTCATAACCTGGCCCCTTCATATCTCACTGACTTCCTCCATCATCACTGTCCCTCCCGCCGCCTCAGATCCGCTGACTCCAACCTCCTCACTCCCATCAGAACAAAGTGCCGAACCTTGGGGGACCGAGCCTTTGCTGCAGCTTCCCCCGCTCTCTGGAACTCACCCCCACCACACATTAGGAACTCTGACTCACTACAGAACTTCAAATCACTTCTCAAAACTCACCTGTTCAAAACTGCCTACACTTAACTGTTTATTTTTAGCTTTTATTTTTTGTTTCATATTTTTCTTTCTGTAAAGCGTCTTTGAGTGTACAAAAAAGCGCTATATAAGTACGATGCATTATTATTATTATTATTATTTTATCTGCTTCTGGAAATCAAGGCATTTAAAGTACATTAAATTAATGAATTAAATTAAAAATTGATGACACTAATTATGTTTTATGTTGACATTTGACATTTTGCATCTGCTCAAACAACCTTATGTTTGACTCCAGCTGATACAAACAGTGTCATCAATTATGTTGATCTTTGATCAGCCAATTGTACAGCAGCATTGGGGTTTGGGCAGAGAGCATGTGAAACACACAAACAACACTTGATGGTGACACCCACGGACAGAGTAATAATGCTTTGTATGTGTGCACAGAACATTACATTTTATTATATATTCTATTATATAACAGCTTATACGTTTGTATCAAACAAACGTTTTCTCTGCTTCTTCCTTTACGACTGTCCCAAAAGCCAGAGCAGCAATCCTCAACTTTCATGGCACGAGTCAGGTTTCAAATTAACCTTTGGGTAACACTTTACATTACGGGCCGGTAAGTCCATGGTACTTACAGTGGTACTTCTAGGTACTTACAGTGGTACTTACGGTGGTACTTACGGTGGTACTTACGGTGGTACTTACGGGGGTACTTACGGTGGTACTTACGGTGGTACTTACGGTGGTACTTACGGTGGTACTTACGGTGGTACTTACGGTGGTACTTACAGTGGTACTTACGGTGGTACTTACGGTGGTACTTACGGTGGTACTTACGGTGGTACTTACAGTGGTACTTACGGTGGTACTTACGGTGGTACTTACGGTGGTACTTACGGTGGTACTTAGTGGTACTTACAGTGGTACTTACGGTGGTACTTACGGTGGTACTTACAGTGGTACTTACGGTGGTACTTACGGTGGTACTTACGGTGGTACTTACGGTGGTACTTACTGTGGTACTTACAGTGGTACTTACAGTGGTACTTATTGTGGTACTTAGAGGTACTTATTGTGGTACTTACAGTGGTACTTCTAGGTACTTATTGTGATAATTCTAGATACAGCTGTAACTTAGTAATTCAAGGACACTACAGTATTATTCCTATGTAGTAAATGTGGTACTTCTACATACATACATACAGAGGTCATTTGTAGGATTGTTTGACTATAAAACATAAAACAACATTATGTAAAACAAACGTCTTTATTAATATGGAATAAGTAGCACAGAAAGGACAGTATAAATACATTTAATACATATTTCAAAACAAGTTTCAAGGACAAGGGAAACACTGCAAGAACTAGGTACCCAACCCAAGTACCAAGAATTACACATTACCAGGTACTTACCAGGCAAGTACCAGGTACTTACCAGGCAAGTACCAGGTACTTACCAGGCAAGTACCAGGTACTTACCAGGCAAGTACCAGGTACTTACCAGCAAGTACCAGGTACTTACCAGGCAAGTACCAGGTACTTACCAGGCAAGTACCAGGTACTTACCAGCAAGTACCTGGTACTTACCAGGTAAGTACCAGGTACTTACCAGGCAAGTACCAGGTACTTACCAGGCAAGTACCAGGTACTTACCAGCAAGTACCAGGTACTTACCAGCAAGTACCAGGTACTTACCAGCAAGTACCAGGTACTTACCAGCAAGTACCAGGTACTTACCAGCAAGTACCAGGTACTTACCAGCAAGGACCAGGTACTTACCATAGGAACTGGCCCGTAATAAGACAAAGGACTTAAACATAAGTACCAGTGATAACACCAGTAATTATATAGTAAGTACCAGGTACTTACCATAGGAACTGGCCCGTAATAAGACAAACGACTTTAACATAAGTACCAGTGATAACACCAGTAATTATATAGTAAGTACCAGGTACTTACCACAGGGACTGGCCCGTAATAAGACAAACGACTTTAACATAAGTACCAGTGATAACACCAGTAATTATATAGTAAGTACCAGGTACTTACCATAGGAACTGGCCCGTAATAAGACAAACGACTTTAACATAAGTACCAGTGATAACACCAGAATTATATAGTAAGTACCAGGTACTTACCACAGGGACTGGCCCGTAATAAGACAAACGACTTTAACATAAGTACCAGTGATAACACCAGTAATTATATAGTAAGTACCAGGTACTTACCATAGGAACTGGCCCGTAATAAGACAAACGACTTTAACATAAGTACCAGTGATAACACCAGTAATTATATAGTAAGTACCAGGTACTTACCACAGGGACTGGCCCGTAATAAGACAAACGACTTTAACATAAGTACCAGTGATAACACCAGTAATTATATAGTAAGTACCAGGTACTTACCATAGGAACTGGCCCGTAATAAGACAAACGACTTTAACATAAGTACCAGTGATAACACCAGTAATTATATATAGTAAGTACCAGGTACTTACCACAGGGACTGGCCCGTAATAAGACAAACGACTTTAACATAAGTACCAGTGATAACACCAGTAATTATATAGTAAGTACCAGGTACTTACCATAGGAACTGGCCCGTAATAAGACAAACGACTTTAACATAAGTACCAGTGATAACACCAGTAATTATATAGTAAGTACCAGGTACTTACCACAGGGACTGGCCCGCAATAAGACAAACGACTTTAACATAAGTACCAGTGATAACACCAGTAATTATATAGTAAGTACCAGGTACTTACCATAGGAACTGGCCCGTAATAAGACAAACGACTTTAACATAAGTACCAGTGATAACACCAGTAATTATATAGTAAGTACCAGGTACTTACCATAGGAACTGGCCCGTAATAAGACAAAGGACTTACCCATAAGTACTAGTGATACCAGTAATTATATAGTATACCAGGTACTTACCAGCAAGTACCAGGTACTTACCAGCAAGTACCAGGTACTTACCAGCAAGTACCAGGTACTTACCAGCAAGTACCAGGTACTTACCATAGGGACTGGCCCGTAATAAGACAAAGGACTTTAACATAAGTACCAGTGATAACACCAGTAATTATATAGTAAGTACCAGGTACTTACCATAGGAACTGGCCCGTAATAAGACAAACGACTTTAACATAAGTACCAGTGATAACACCAGTAATTATATAGTAAGTACCAGGTACTTACCATAGGAACTGGCCCGTAATAAGACAAACGACTTTAACATAAGTACCAGTGATAACACCAGTAATTATATAGTAAGTACCAGGTACTTACCACAGGGACTGGCCCGTAATAAGACAAACGACTTTAACATAAGTACCAGTGATAACACCAGTAATTATATAGTAAGTACCAGGTACTTACCATAGGAACTGGCCCGTAATAAGACAAACGACTTTAACATAAGTACCAGTGATAACACCAGTAATTATATAGTAAGTACCAGGTACTTACCACAGGGACTGGCCCGTAATAAGACAAACGACTTTAACATAAGTACCAGTGATAACACCAGTAATTATATAGTAAGTACCTGGTACTTACCATAGGAACTGGCCCGTAATAAGACAAACGACTTTAACATAAGTACCAGTGATAACACCAGTAATTATATAGTAAGTACCAGGTACTTACCATAGGAACTGGCCCGTAATAAGACAAAGGACTTACCCATAAGTACTAGTGATACCAGTAATTATATAGTATACCAGGTACTTACCAGCAAGTACCAGGTACTTACCAGCAAGTACCAGGTACTTACCAGCAAGTACCAGGTACTACAGCAAGTACCAGGTACTTACCAGCAAGTACCAGGTACTTACCAGCAAGTACCAGGTACTTACCAGCAAGTACCAGGTACTTACCAGCAAGTACCAGGTACTTACCAGCAAGTACCAGGTACTTACCATAGGGACTGGCCCGTAATAAGACAAAGGACTTTAACATAAGTACCAGTGATAACACCAGTAATTATATAGTAAGTACCAGGTACTTACCATAGGAACTGGCCCGTAATAAGACAAACGACTTTAACATAAGTACCAGTGATAACACCAGTAATTATATAGTAAGTACCAGGTACTTACCACAGGGACTGGCCCGTAATAAGACAAACGACTTTAACATAAGTACCAGTGATAACACCAGTAATTATATAGTATACCAGGTACTTACCAGCAAGTACCAGGTACTTACCAGCAAGTACCAGGTACTTACCAGCAAGTACCAGGTACTTACCAGCAAGTACCAGGTACTTACCAGCAAGTACCAGGTACTTACCAGCAATTACCAGATACTTACCAGCAAGTACCAGGTACTTACCAGCAAGTACCAGGTACTTACCAGCAAGTACCAGGTACTTACCATAGTACTGGCCCATATTAAGACAAAGGACTTTAACTAATTTGACCAGCATCTAGTGTGTGTATCCATTATTTTATACCGACATGCAAACACAAACATGGTGTAAAAGGATAGTTGAATAGTTGTGAGCCCACAACGGTGTAGACTTTGGTTCAGTTTTAGTAAATTTGCCAAGTTCACATCTCTGATGAGCATAAATCACATCAAAAGCACACAATGACCACACGCCTCGCTGACCGCGATTGCTCATAAAAGCGAGCGCAGAGCACGCACAGGGACATGAGCACCTACCTGGTCAGTTAAGCCTCCACCAAACGGTAAATTATAGCTATCCGTTACCTTTATAGGTTGGCTTGCACTCACATTTCATGCCGCTATTGTCCAATACTAATTATCATTGGAAAACCTACATTAGATTCGGTGCTCATGTCTCATGCACAGGTGCGCTGCGTCAATGCAACTTTGTAGCGTAGGCTGATGCATTAGCCCGCTGCCCATCACTACTTCATGAATCCAAGCGGCAATAAAGGTAAACATGCAATTTAGTGTATTGGCCTACTGTCCGTGGCTCAACCAGTGCAGTTTATGCCCTCCTGTTTTTATATTGCAGATTTAGATGAGTCATGTGAATTATATTTTCCCACGTCAAAATGGTGAATTTCCATGAAAGGCGACAGATTTGCATGCATGTTTGATGCATGCTCTGTCTGATTCTTCTGCTTTTGATGACTGTTGTCAGCCAGGGGAAAAGAGCACACTGGCTTGTGGACTTTAGAAAACCATTCAGTCATCATTCTTCACTCCACCGCCATGGCATTGTTCAAAGTTGGCCTCTGCAAGAAAAAGGTAAAATACATGTTGAAAAATTATTAGCCAGGACTGTAGCCAAGATTTTACAAATACTAAGGTTCAGTTCCTGTGCTCATTAAACATTTACCTTTACCTACAATAAATAAATCCATGGCTACAAACATGCATTTATTAACAGCATGTGGACATCATTATTACTTATTTTTTTTTGTGCTCATTGTTGTTGTTCTCTCGACCTGATAATTAAAAGCAGAACACGTGTTAACAACCTCGACTTTATTAGCATATTAATATTTAATATTGTATTTAATACATTTCTGCACACTACATTTTAGATAATACCAGCACGATGGATAGATGCATTAACGCACATGCGTGTTAGCCTCCCGCGTAAAATTTGAATTACTATACTACAAGCAGTATGCAACCATTACAATTGAACATAAATCTAACCCTTCCGTTATATTCGGACGCAAACATTTTCATTTATGACAGTCCTTCGGCATTTACAGTAGTAAACATACCACTAACGCTCCGCTTGCTGAACTCGTACCATATTATTGCACGCATGGCTAAACTGCCACCTACAAATCACTGTAACTACTTACGAATCACAACTTGACAAACTGCCTGCATCGTAGCAAGCATAAACATGTGGCTTTTACATTCATATCTATTCGACACCGGTGTATCCACCGGAGAATCAGCAGCATGATAATGGCGTCTGGTAGCTAAACGGCTAACGCTACATAGCCATGGGCCACTTAAAAGTTATCCCACACCGTTTACACAGGCGAAGGTCATTATAGTTTAGACTTACAAGTGAAATTACAACATCGCGTGGCCTATGTCTGTTTTGCACCTTTACCTACCGCGGTGAAGTTAGTTTGAAGTTGGATATCCGACAGACATTCAACGGTCATTCCCTCTCGGTACACCTCTCCTTCTCTCTGGGTTCAGAGCGACTCGAAAGCCGCTCCAACATTTTAGTGCACCCCTACTACACACAGTACGGTAAACACGCGAAGACATGTACGCTGGTGTAATATTTACATATAAAAAATCATTAAAAATACTTACAACATTTTAATGATAAAAGAAGAGGTGTACCCCGTACAGCTAGTAGAGGACTATGATCCTGACCTGATTTGGAGTCAATAGGTCACATGACCTGGAAGCTATTGAGCTAAAATGCTAATATTTGCATTTAAAATTTCATCAAAAATACTTCAAACATTTAAATGATAAAAGAAGAGGTGTACCCCCTACAGCTAGGGGAGGACTATGATCCTGACCTGATTTGGAGTCAATAGATCACATGACCTGGAAGCTATTGAGCTAAAATGCTATTTTATTACATATAAAAATTCATTAAAAATACTTAAAAAAACTTAAATGACAAAAAAAATAGGTGTACCCTTTGCAGCTAGGGGAGGACTATGATCCTGACATGATTTGGAGTCAATAGGTCACATGACCTGGAAGCTATTGAGCTAAAATGCTAATATTTGCCTTTAAAAATTCATTAAAAATTCTTTAAAAAACTTAAATGACAACAAAGAGGTGTACCCCCTGCAGCTAGTGGAGGACTATGATCCTGACCTGATTTGGAGTCAATAGGTAAATCTTAATTGTAAATCTTAACACGTACAAAAGTAGGCTATGTGGTTTAGGTCAACTGATATATATGTATATGTCATTTTTTTATTAGGGGTGCTACTAACAATCATTGATTAATCTACAAATTACTTTTACAATAATAAATCAATTGCTTGGCTGTACACGGTGTATGAGCATTGTATTAGAAAAAAATAAAATGAGGGTCTAAATGCTAATTCTGCTTTATAACTGGAAGACACACAGACGGATATTCATGAAATTTACAATGTACTTAACAGTAATACAGGTATTATCGCATAATGGGGATAGGCAAAGGCAAAAATTATACTTAAATGGGTGTGTTTATATGTTGTATATAGGGAGAGAGGTGGGTAGAGTAGACAAGTAAGAGTAACAGCACTTTTGATACATTTTACTCAAGTAGACGTTGAAAGCAGTGGCATAACTAAAATCACTTGGATAAAATTTTACTTGAGTAGAGTCACTACGAGTTACTGTTTGAACATACATTATAGGAATGAAAACAACATATAATGTGAACATTTTTACATTTTAAAAGAAAAACACAATAACAACTAGGGCTGACACAACTAATCGATTAATCTACAAATAATCTATTATTGCAATAGTTTCCAACTATTTTAGTAATAAATTAATAATTTTCTGGTTCACACTGACTTAAATAGAGCTAAACTGATATTAAAATTGTGTATTTTTTAATTAAAACAACTTTGTTTTTATAGTCTGGTACGTAGTGTTACACAGGATACATTTTGTGGATGTCATGGAATAGCCGGCCTACTATTCCATGGCGGTGCTCTTTTCCAAGCCAGTGTGTCCATTCAATAAGACGAAGCGCATTTTTTAAACTACTTTCAGACAAATTGCCTCTACACCTATAAACCTGCTCTTTGTATGTCCTCCAAGCCCTTTCAATATGCTGGGTGTGCGCTCCTGTTATAGGGTGAACAAAAAATCTCTCGTGATTAACCTGATAATGAATGTAACCATCATCGGTCAAAGTGTTATATGCCCTCCACGAATCACTCAAAATTGTCCCACCCGGAATGACATATTTTTGGATTATAGGCAGCAACTGTGCCCTTGACCTTCTGCTGACAAGCTTTAGTACAGGCCGGCGCCGGTGTCGGTCCACCTCTAACATCCCAAACACCCAGGCATTTCGTCTCCTCCAGGTCCTGCCAATTCTTCCTCTGTTATACTGAAAACACAAGCATAAACATAAGGTATTGACTCACATCACAGTCCTGCATGTACAGGCATGGATAAGGGTAAAATGTAAATACCTAAACATAAATAATACCAACATTTATGGTTTTGTGACAAAGTAACCCCCTGTTTGGACATGACAGTGTTATCGGTCCACTGTCCTCCTACTGTGGCCTTTATGTGAAGAACCTTGGGTTGATGATTGATCTTTTGTTTAAGTGTGTAAAAACATTTAAAGTATGTGATCAAGTCCAGCATATTTCAACTGAAGGCTTTGACCAAAATAAAACCCAATCTTCCTTGAGATTGAGAGCAGAGGCTACCACAGACTCATAAAAAGCCCTGAGCAGAGGCCTGCTCACTATGAAGTACCAATTTAAGGTGTAGTTGGTTGTTTTTAAATGTTAGTACTTTCTGAGCCCAGCTTATCTGAGTGAGCTGTTGTGATCTAACACTCCATCCAGAGCCTTATTGAGGTCTGCTGACCAGCTCCTTTTGGAGTATCCTAAAAATTAGCAAAAAATGAGAAGTGATCGAGCCTTCTCTGTGGGATCACCACAACTATGGAACATTCTTCCTCTCTCTGTCATGTCCTCTCAGTCTTTGTGACAGTTCTACACTGTCAGCCCTACACTGAAAACACACTTGTTGTCCCTGGCTTTCAATACTTGATTACCCATTTGATTTTATATTGGCCTTTTAGTTTTTATTTATATGTGACATATTTTTTTATTTTAAAGCACTTTGTACTGCACATTTAAAACAAAATCAGGTGAACAAATACACTACAATTTAAATTGAATACAATAGTGCAATGTTTACAATGCAAAGTCAGAAATACCTTTCTTTTATGGCGGAACATACTTTCGTCGATCACCACAAAAGCTCTTCTTCCACCAATCTTCATCTGACGTCGACGTTCAAGGCGTTCCATAGCCTTTACACAGCATGTTCGGAGACGGTCATAAACTTTGGAGATGGACCGACTGCTTCGTACTGTGTCCTCCTCTATCAGGTCAACATGGCGACGTCTCATTCCTTGACAAAAACTGTAATAAAGACAATTACATTAAAAAGACACCGTTAACACTTATTCAGAGCAATGGTCTATGTCAGACACTTGTAAACAAGACACATGATTAAGCTCATGCAACAATTTCTTAGACCAAATGACATAATATTCATCATAAAGCCTATTATCACAAATGATTTCTTATTACAAAATGTACATATAGATCTTAAAATAATTAAAATGAAAACCTGTGGATTACTTTCATCCAAGTTTTGAGACTCATGTGAGATTTCTCGAACATGGATCCCTTGCGAATTGCTGTGGAAATATTGCCATGTCTCCCATTTCTGCATCTCCTACAGAAAAGTAGAATTTAAATGAATAAGCATAAAAATAACATAACAAATACTATTAATAACTCTACAGTAACTAATGTCACATAACCGTGGTGGTAAATTACTGTTATATCACCTTTTTCATTTTTTTCTTGTTTGCTAGAAAGCTATAACAAAACATAAACGATTTATATGGTTTTTCAGTCCCTTACTCTGGTTGGTTGTTTCATTAATAATATGTCTATGGTGGTTTCATTTTATCATGGCTGCGCCCTCCACAATACCTTCAGCAGTGGCACGTTATCAATGGAAATGTAAAATGTGTAGGCCACGCACATTGTATTTTCAACATATTAATAACACATAAAAAAATAAAAATATATATGCCTACTTCTGGAGTACTTATTCTTACCATTTGTAGCCATCTATACTGGGCGCATATTTAGATATTTTCATGCGTCTTCTGCATTTGTGGCATCGAAACCTTTTTGCCAGAAGCCCGTATTTTTGCAAGAGGCGTATCAGTCTCTTCCGACTCCTACCCAGCACTCGAGTGAGCTCGGCGAGGCGTCGTGCCATATTTACTTCAATGGTCGTGCCATTAAAACTTAGTGCCAGTCGCGCGAGGTGAGACGTGTTTACGTCTTGCTGAAAAATCTAATGCCATGGCAAGAGGATTGCCATAGTGGAACTATAAAACTGATCCGGGGACAGTATCTCCTTCTGACATCAGATATTACGCCGACGTGAATACGGAGGCCAAGTCTGACTCCAGATCAGAGCGAAAGAAAAGTGCTGCTGAGAGGAGACAGTGCATTTAATCCGACTTTATTTGGTGCTCTGAAATGATCATACATGTAGGGCCTTTTTTAAATATTGATTGTACATCTATATATTCTAGAGTCTAAAGCTAAGTGCCTTAAAACTATGATAAATTGTCTGTATATATGAGCTGACGCCCTTTGCTATTGTAATTCAAATCTTTAATTTGTTTCTTTATTATTTTACTATTTTTTTCCATGCTGCTTAGATTTTCTTGACAGCAGTCAGGTGTATTGCCTTAAGACACATTGTCAATTCGATATGCAATAAAAAAAAAAAAAAAAAAAAAAAAAAAATTCGTCACCGTCCATCAAGAGGCGCGATTCTATCCAGAAAAAAATCTAACAACACCGAGAAAGAAAACGACAAATCAGTAAGTATTTTTGGTTTGTTTCATTTTTTTAACCTAACACGACTGGAATCGCGTTTCTTATGTATGTATGCGTGTTAACAATTGTCAAAATCACTTTTAGAGATATTACTGTTTACGGACGATACCACGTGAATATACGGTATGTAGTGTACACTTGTTGGATATGGATTGTGAGCCTAAGTCTTATGATTGTTAATTAAATTTTCAGCTAAAAATGAGGAAGGGCAAAAAGCTGCAGCCTGCAGGTAATCAGCAGCCATACATTTCTTCATTTGGTTCTACTAATTACCCCAATACACACACACCGTATTACACAAGTGACATTGCCATTAAACCTACGTCTATTTCAGACCTAAGTGTGAAACATCTTATTACAATGCAAATATACTAATGTTTTCATATTTACTCTATTTTAGCTGCAATATCAAATCTTCAGGTGGAGATTTCCCACCTCACAGATGAGGTGAAATTCCTTCAACACTGCATTGAAATTATGCAGCCTAATGATGCCCCAGGTAACTAAAAACAAATTGCTTACACAGTTTTGTCTGTAGCTGTTGAAAGCTATTTTCCTGCATGTTGTATACACGTATAAAAAGCCTGTGGTACTTTAGTAATTTGCATATAAACCTTGAGTGCTTAGAAAGGTGCTACCCAAATACAATCTAACATTATCATTATTACAGTTACAATTACATGTCTTGTAACTGACAACATGCCCATGGTTACAAAGCAAATATGAATTCATTCCTTCAGCTCTTGGTGTAAGAACAAAGTTAATTTATTTTATGAAGCATGGATGAGCCTTTAGGCAATTAGTCTTCTGTTTAAGTAAAAACTACACATACAGGGACAACAAGAAACGGAGTAAAACAGATTCAGAATTTTGATTGTACTGTCTTTACTATTGGAAGAAATCACAATAGGTGCAATCAAGATGCATGAAAACTTTAAAAACATACCAGCATTCATAATTATACACAATGAAAAGATACATAACACGTCAGTGCCACCGCCACAGGCTGTAATCATTAAGTTCCATGATTATGTGCTTCTTGGGGGACAGGGTCATGTTGTTAATGTTTGTTTTATCTTTATTGTCAACAATAACTATTTTAAATTATTTTCCTAATAAGCAGACCCACAAAATGTTGCAAAAGTGAGGGATGACAAAAAAAAGCAAGTGATACATTTGGACTCAACTGATGAAGAGGAAAAACCCAAAGCAAAAAAGAAGAAGTCAGATACAAAGAAAATAAGAAAACACCATAAGAAACACAAGAGAAATAAGTAATTAAGTATATTTAATCTTTGAGCTGCATGTTATTGTTCTGAGCCCGGCCCTTTTCAGCTCCTCTGCGAGCCCTTGTATAATTTTTATTTTTTAATGTTTTGGGTATTTCAAATAAATGTTCTTCAAAGTTTCTCTGTTGTTTAAATTTTATGTATATATATTTATATTTATTTTTTTGGGTATTATTCTTTGGATGAATACTGAAAAACGATTTAGTGATAGCAAGTGATAGAAAAAAATATCACTTGTTACTTTATTATTATTATTTTAAAGGCAGACCTTTAGAGTGGCAGGGTGGCACTAAACGCCTGAACACAAGCACAGTTGTATGGTAATATCTGCATTGTGTGGCTGAGTGGAGTTACTCTACAAACAGGTCACACAGTGCTACTAGAGCATACACAGAGCCGTAGATGACAATACTGTATCATTCTTCTGTTGGACAGGATGAGAGCCAGATGATTTTTTGACTTCAGTCGAGGCCTTGGTACTTCTCCTGCAGAGACACATAAAAGGTTTATAATACAATGGTGCGTTCATGTTTCCCCTGCCACAGTACATCACTGTGACACACTCAACGTTGATCAACTGCTATAGTCACAAATGAGCCTTAAGGATCCTCAGTATTTCCTCAGGACACATAACTCACTGTCAACATGCAACAGAATGTTATACCTGTAAAAACACACACAATCATAATTAAAAATAAAGAAGTTCTGTATTTGATACAAACCAACAAACAATTTTGGGGATAGCGTATTACAAAAGTTACAAGTTACCAAAATATTGAATTGTTTTTAGGTAACTAAGGAACATAACATATTACTTAATACAAAATACATGGATAAATTTGTCATTAAGTTACTTGAGTAAAAAAGCGCATTTTCGTAAATGGTCTGTATAATAAAGTCCTACACTGGTGATTAATATAGCTAATGTCATCAAAACAAAACATGGATGTTTGAGAATGTGAAAATCAAAGGAAAGGAACATTTTTGACTGCACTTTTGCTTGGTGGCATTGATAATATTTTTGGGTTCTAGTGTCTGTGTACGTTGCTATATGCATGGGGGCGTGAATCCTGTAAAGCGCTTAGAGTGCCTATTAGTATAAATGCGCTATATAAGTTGATACCATTTACCATTCTATTTTCCCAAAAGTCACTCAAGGTAGTGTAACTCAGCAACTTTTTTGTAAACATAAATATGTAATACAAACATTATATATATATATATATATATATATATATATATATAAAAAGGAAAATACTAATATATAAATAATAATACATTTTAAGTAACTTGCCCATCACTGACAACAAAACAATTAACAAAAGGCACAAAGACCAATGACCAGGTCTGGACACACTGCGCACGTCTTTTTATTTTTATTGGAAATAACAAACTTAGCTTAATTATATTTTTCACTATATTTATCTAGTCTGGCCTTAGCCTTCCGTAAACTCCAGTCAATTATATTTTCCCTGCATGTACGAAACAAGTACGAGGTTATGGTAAAACCAGGCTAATATTTTTCCCTTCTTTGGGCAAAATCTAAAACATGTAATTATTATTAGATTTTTTCTACATAACTTTCAATCATCCCTGTTAAATTTGTATAGAAGCAGTAGTATTTCTGGCTTGTATGGATGGTGGACTAGTACTTTCAATTTGCTTTTATGAACTTGTGTTTATTTTGCACTGACCTGTCTAACGAACACTACAAGTATTTCTTATAAATGGCTACAAATTAAAGTTTTAACAACCACATTATTTAAAAATACAGCCAGCGAAGCCCATAGCAGTGCTGTTCAATTTGTTGTGTAATGGAAAGTCAGTGTCACGGTTTCTTAGACTAGCTCACTTTACTTACTTTACAGTAGCCTACTTTTACAGAACAGAGTGGTAGAAGATCCTCTTGAACCAATGAGGTGGAGACGCACTACAGCAGCTGCCGGGGATGACAGAACAGTCCCTTCTGAAACAATAATCCTCATCTCGTAGAACACATCTATTGTGCAAACACAGAAAATAACTCACATAAAATACATACTACCACAACACTACATTAGAATATCATGACAAAGTAATTTTCTTTCTGTTATTCAATTTACAATGTCAAAATGAATATATTACATACTCATTACATACAAAGTGACATAATGTCAATACCTTATTTGTCATCATTTGGATGATTATGGCTTACAGTCCATTATTTTTTTTTTTATAATTTTACGATATCTATAATTTGGGTATTTGAAAAGCTGAGCCATAATCATTTAAATTATAATAAATAAACGCTGTACATATCTCACTTTGCATGTAATGAGTATATCATATATTAGCTTCACAAAAACTGCAAAGGAGCTGTTATGCTTTACAAAGTGCATTGAATTGGCAATAATAAACACACAACATACTCACTCAACTTGCTTTAGATTGTACAGCTTTCCTCAACCACATGACCAGCTGCGAGTTTGTTGTTTACGTTGGAATGGCCGATGCTGCTAAAAGCTACGCGTTGTTGTTGGGAGGCGAGGGATAGACCTTTTTCACACTTCCGTGTTTTAAACCGGATGTGGAGTAAAACCACTTCCGGTTATCGTGAAAAAGGTCTATAGCTTTCTCTTTAGCTTCGCCGCCAGTGCGGTATTGTCCTTTTCATAAGTAAGTTCAAAATAATTAAGTATATCCACAATGAATGAGAACGCGTTCGGTGAAAACTCTGCTATGAAAGTGATGGAGGACACAGTGCGCTTGCGCGTGCAGCACTGCAGACAAGGAAGTAACGAGACGAGGGAGGGATCAGGGCCCAAAATAACGCGTTACTGATTTGAATAAGAAACTAATACTTTCATTCATTCATTCATCTTCTTCCACTTGTCCGTTGCCGGGTCGTGGGGGCAGCCGTTGAAGCTGCCCAAGTCACATAGCACCGGCCCCATTGACAGTAGTAAGGCAAGGCAAGGCAAGTTTATTTGTAGAGCACAATTCATACACAAGGCAATTCAAAGTGCTTCACAGTTGCAGAAAATTACAAGAAAACAGATCAAATCAATCAATAAAACATCATCATAAGTAAAAGGCAAGAGTGCAGATAAAATACTTTCAGTTTTCATATGCACGGGTAAAAAGAGCTGTTTACAGCCTGGATTTGAACATTGTCAGAGTTGAGGCCTGTCTCACATCCTCATGAAGACTGTTCCAGATTTTAGCTGCATAAAACTGAAACGCAGCCTCACCGTGTTTATTATTGACTCTGGGAACCACCAGGAGACCCCTCCCTGAGGAACCACCAGGAGACCCCTCCCTGAAGTTCTCAGGGCCCGAGATGGTTCATACGACTCTAACATGTCAGAGATGTACTTTGGTGCTAAACCATGAAAAGACTTGTACACAAGCAGAGCTGTTTTAAATTATATTCTCTGAGTGACAGGAAGCCAGTGCAGAGACCGGAGCACTGGACTAATATGGTCGTATTTCCTGGTTATTGTCAGGACTCAGGTAGTAGTACTGTGTCTGTCTACTGTCAATGACCGGCCCCCATGGCTCCTTCTGTAGTTGGTGGGTCCACGGAAGGACGGCCTCACGATTCTAACCGGGGCCTGTTGGTCTAACTAATACTTTACTAGCTGCAAATCCCAAAGTAACGCGTTACTAGGAAAAAGTAATATGAGTACTAAAATGCGTCACTAAATAAATGGTCACATTTATATAGTGCATTTCTACCTGCTTTAGGCACTCAAAGCGCTTTACATCAAGGAACCAGTCACCCATTCACACTCATTGATACACCAGTGTACGCAAACACTGGAGGCAAGGTGGGTTAAGTGTTTTGCCCAAGGACACAACAACAGTGGGCACCTGCGGGATTCGAACAAAGTAGTTACTAAGTAGCGCGTTACCCCAAACATGCAGTGTTTAACATAAATATGCCAGTACTTGTAATGTGTATAACAATTAGCAACAGACATCTTTTATTTTGTGACAAAATTGATTTTTGGCATCTTCAGAGCAGACCATAATTATAATACATCCATGAAACAGACGGAGCAAATATTGATACCAAATAAACTAAAGATGCACATAGTTTCACATAGGTTTCACATAGTTAAAACAATGTGAAAAAAATGTCTATATATTGATAAGCTGATGCCCTGTTGTTATCGTTATTCAAATGTTTAATATTTTAATTTATTATGTATTTTTCTATTTTTTCCTGCAGCTTAGATTTTCATACACAGCAGCCATGTTTATTGCCTTTTTTTTAAAAGACACATTGTCAATTGTCTTGGCAATAAATAAAAAATAATAATAATCTTGTTCCGGTATCGGGTGTGTGTTGGGCGTGTCACTTCAATGGGCGTGTCCCCAGGCAGTTTCTGGTCATGTGGTTGACCGGGAGACGTCAAGGAGACGTTTTTACAGTCTATGGTCAAGCGTCAGTGGCTGTGCAGACAGACTGTCGTCGCCATGGAGTGTGAAGGTAAATATACCTTAAATGTTTTAATTTCACCCTATAATTTATTAAAATCTTATATATAATATGCGATACACGTGTGCAAAAGCGCACTTAATTGTCTTCATGGATAAAGAAATGTTGTAATGATTCGCTTTTGCTTTTACAGCCTCACCACGTGCTATCAGGACAGAAGAGAAGGAGAAGGAGAACGACGACATGTAAGTTAGAAAAAATATTTTCATAATAATTTAATAATTTGGGTTAACAAGTGGTCATATTAATTAAAACAGGGTCCAGGAGTCACTTTATTTGGCCAATGAAAAGGACGCAGGCCCATCTCAGCAGACACACACGACGGCAGGTATTGCATGGCTTGTTATCGGTCCAAAGTTAGGAAACACTTGTCATTTAAGGAGTTAAATTTATTCTCAATACAATTTAGCAGAGTAAATTCTCAATGATAAACTTAATTTTTTTGCTTTGGGGTTTCTATGGATATAAAGATTTCAAAAGAGCCCTCACACATACTCTGTGGGAGTAGTAATTAAGATAAATAATCTGAAGTTGGCCAAATTACTGGTAACGTTTGTAAAAAATTTTTTTTTTTACAAAATCTTCATTATAAGCTTTCACATGAGCCACCCTAGGCCGTAGGAAAGCCCTCTAGCTTGAACGTGGAAATTGGTCACTCAACATAATAAATTGGTTATTTTACAAATAACATCGGACACCCAAGTGATGACATCACTTTTTTCAGTCATTTATATGACATTGTGATACAACTTACAAATATTTTGTTGATTGACCACCTATAATCTTAAGTGTTTGATTAGGCTGAGGAACATGTGAACGCTTTGAATGAGGACATTAGTCTTGGTTCTAACGTGCTTTGCAAAAGTTGCCAGTAATGTGGACGACTTTATAGTTTTGCCCTTATGACCCTGAATATTATATTGCAGCTCAAGAAAGGTATTTCGGGACATGTGAGCTTGTTTGAAAGGTTGAAATCCATTGATTCCCTAAAAAAAAACTTTAAAGGATCTGTATCATGCTATTTCAGCCATTCCAAAGTAAAGTATAGGCATTTATATGATATATTGTACCTCTCACTATGGAGTACTCATTTTTGAGTAATATATCTGTATTTGCTGGGTGTATTTTTCAAACCCAGAACACAAGACGCTTTGATTCAGTTTACTACATCCCTCTCTCCGCTCATTCCACATTTGCAGTAATATAAATATAAAGAACGCTGCAAAAAGTGAAGTTACTTCACATAATGCAGTTATAAGGAGTTCACATGTGCAACACAGTTTACGAAATGGCTAACACGTGCTTTGATTGACTTACCTCATACAGTCAACCTGGCTTCCCCATCTGGTTATGGGATAGCGTTGGTTATAAAAGTGAATCCACTTCGATTCTGGCCAATGTTCACCAAGCATGGTTGATATAGTCGCTGAATCCCAGAAAGAAATTCCATCTTCTGGCGAGTGCACTCATTTGGAAGGTTGACTAGTCCACTCGTAGCCAAACCATGGAGCTAATCGAGCCAAACTTGCATCCATGACATAATCGTTGGGTAAGTAAAATGAACAGGCGGTGTCCAGAGCACGTTAGAAAGAGCTCACTCTTCACAAGCAATGCACCGTCCGGCCAGGGTTGCATTTTTATAACCCTCCCGGGACAGCACAGACACTCAGTATTTTCATTTTTCCTTTATTTATCTCTTACGAAAAAAATAATGAAAAAGCTGTTTTATAAATTAAAATCAGGCCGTAAAGCATTACATTACAGACATCTAGTACTTCCGTTCCGCTGTGACGACACAACTGAACAACTCAGTCGTTTTCCAACAGAGGGTGGGACAGCTGGCCAGAGAGCATCCCCGCTCTAGGGGTGTTTTTGAGAAGAAATAGCATAACTACATGGTTAAAAACTCCAAAAAAGTATAGTTTGCATGATAAAGCTCCTTTAAGTGTACATCCAGGATACTCTACAATGTGAGTAGCTTTGAAAATGAAAACAATTCCTTTTAAATGATAAGGAAGTTTCCAAACATTTGACCAGTACTTTACGTGACAGTGTCATTGAGATAATTGAAACTTTAATTGGGCCAAAGGTAATATGAGTGTGCTGTTGAGACAGAGGCCAATAAAATAAATTTAATTTCGCAGCTTATTTAAACTGCAGTGCACATTTGTCTGTAAGCGTTACAAACGCTTCTATCCCCTCCCCCATCTACACTTTTTCAGTAGTAAACTCCCTTTTTTTTGTGCCTCTGAATTAGGAAAAAATGAGTTGTGGGCACAATTTCACAATATGCACTCCAATTATTTAACATTATTATGTTGTAAGCCACTTTTCGGGGCACCAGCTCTCATTTCTATCATCTTTGGCACACTTTTGGCTGTGCCAGTGCTTCATGACCTCAGTTTTCTAAGGGCGCAATTAGTGTATTGCTAAAATATTAGATTACCCTTACCACAACATATTGTGTAGTGCTGCAACTAACGGTTATTTTTCACGATAAATCGATTAATTGCTTGGCTGGTAAGTACCTGGTACTTGCTGGTAAGTACCTGGTACTTGCTGGTAAGTACCTGGTACTTGCTGGTAAGTACCTGGTACTTGCTGGTAAGTACCTGGTATACTATATAATTACTGGTATCACTAGTACTTATGGGTAAGTCCTTTGTCTTATTACGGGCCAGTTCCTATGGTAAGTACCTGGTACTTACTATATAATTACTGGTGTTATCACTGGTACTTATGTTAAAGTCGTTTGTCTTATTACGGGCCAGTTCCTATGGTAAGTACCTGGTACTTACTATATAATTACTGGTGTTATCACTGGTACTTATGTTAAAGTCGTTTGTCTTATTACGGGCCAGTTCCTATGGTAAGTACCTGGTACTTACTATATAATTACTGGTGTTATCACTGGTACTTATGTTAAAGTCCTTTGTCTTATTACGGGCCAGTTCCTATGGTAAGTACCTGGTCCTTGCTGGTAAGTACCTGGTACTTGCTGGTAAGTACCTGGTACTTGCTGGTAAGTACCTGGTACTTGCTGGTAAGTACCTGGTACTTGCTGGTAAGTACCTGGTACTTGCTGGTAAGTACCTGGTACTTGCCTGGTAAGTACCTGGTACTTGCCTGGTAAGTACCTGGTACTTGCCTGGTAAGTACCTGGTACTTGCTGGTAAGTACCTGGTACTTGCCTGGTAAGTACCTGGTACTTGCCTGGTAAGTACCTGGTACTTGCTGGTAAGTACCTGGTACTTGCCTGGTAAGTACCTGGTACTTGCCTGGTAAGTACCTGGTACTTGCCTGGTAAGTACCTGGTACTTGCCTGGTAAGTACCTGGTAATGTGTAATTCTTGGTACTTGGGTTGGGTACCTAGTTCTTGCAGTGTTTCCCTTGTCCTTGAAACTTGTTTTGAAATATGTATTAAATGTATTTATACTGTCCTTTCTGTGCTACTTATTCCATATTAATAAAGACGTTTGTTTTACATAATGTTGTTTTATGTTTTATAGTCAAACAATCCTACAAATGACCTCTGTATGTATGTATGTAGAAGTACCACATTTACTACATAGGAATAATACTGTAGTGTCCTTGAATTACTAAGTTACAGCTGTATCTAGAATTATCACAATAAGTACCTAGAAGTACCACTGTAAGTACCACAATAAGTACCTCTAAGTACCACAATAAGTACCACTGTAAGTACCACTGTAAGTACCACAGTAAGTACCACCGTAAGTACCACCGTAAGTACCACCGTAAGTACCACCGTAAGTACCACCGTAAGTACCACCGTAAGTACCACCGTAAGTACCACCGTAAGTACCACCGTAAGTACCACCGTAAGTACCACCGTAAGTACCACTGTAAGTACCACTAAGTACCACCGTAAGTACCACCGTAAGTACCACCGTAAGTACCACCGTAAGTACCACTGTAAGTACCACCGTAAGTACCACCGTAAGTACCACCGTAAGTACCACCGTAAGTACCACTGTAAGTACCACCGTAAGTACCACCGTAAGTACCACCGTAAGTACCACCGTAAGTACCACCGTAAGTACCACTGTAAGTACCACCGTAAGTACCACCGTAAGTACCACCGTAAGTACCACCGTAAGTACCACCGTAAGTACCACCGTAAGTACCACCGTAAGTACCACCGTATGTACCACCGTAAGTACCACCGTAAGTACCACCGTAAGTACCACCGTAAGTACCACCGTAAGTACCACCGTAAGTACCACCGTAAGTACCACCGTAAGTACCACCGTAAGTACCACTGTAAGTACCTAGAAGTACCACTGTAAGTACCATGGACTTACCGGCCCGTAATGTAAAGTGTTACCAACCTTTGTATTATAGCTCCTTTTACAGACCACAGTAGTAGATCATAAACCTAAAGTATCTGTCACTTACACTGAATGTCTACAGTGTGGTGTTTCTTCATTAGCTGTTCATGTACACCCACTGATAGCAACACGTGATCTTGTTGCCGGTGATTGACATGTTTTGAGAATTTGCAGCGTGTGTAGATATAATGGATGCTCACATACAGACAGGGCCAAATTATTTTTATTCCATTTTTCCTTTGGTGCGTGCAGAAACCACTGAGCACTGTGCACAAATTCCCTAATCACCACAGGTCTGTGCTGTAATTATAGAATCAAAGTGCAGATAACTATTTGTGTGCTGTGCTGGAGTGGTCTGTCCTATGGTTACCGCTTGGAATCTTCAAATGAACTGTTGTTCACATTGCTAGTGTGGCAAGCTGGACTTGGCCACCATATTTCTGTCCAGTAGAGGGCGCCTACGCCCAGTATAAATAGCCTAGATTTACGTCTTTTGCGTACCTCTGCACTTCCGTCTCTTGTGTGTCGTCGCGCCAGCCCTTCTCCTGCTCCAGTGCCGCGGTGTGGCATTGTGCCCCGCGAGTCCTCCTTGTGCACGGCCACACTGTCCAGTCGCTTTGGTGTCTGGCCGCCCTCATTGCTGGGGTCCGAGTGCGTCGTAGCCGGCTGTTGGTCTGGGCCTGTAAACCGCTACTCGTCAAGAGCTGTTTCTCCCGCTGTTTCTCCTGCTGTCTCTCGTTTTTCACCATGTTGTATGTTTCCGTGGTGTGTTGTTCACCTGTACTCCTGAGTCCTTTGCGACAGGAAATGTGACAACGCGTGAAACCTAAAGAGAACTATCACAACTTAATAAATCAAAGTAAACGTAATGTCTATGCCTCTCAATTATGATTTACGAACCTGTGCGCCTTAGAGCGCTTTATATTTTATTTTGGGCACTTTGCCCTGGCGTTGCTGGTTTTTCTTTCTCATTTATATTTTCATATTATTTAAGGAGCGCGTAGCAGCCTCCACATTGCCACACTTGGCGTTGCTGACAGGATAATCGTTAAAATGAGGCATAGTGTACTCTGTTCTTTGTAGCCAATTTCAGTAGCATTAGCGTTTTGTTTGATGTGACTTAAAACCTGTCATTGTTTTGTCTTGTGTTTTATTATTTTCTTTGTTTTGATGTGCTTTTTTTGTGTGCTTTTGATTTGTGCATGGTCTTTGTTTCAAATTTAAACACAGCCATAAAATGACACGGCTAAAACCCTCACATGTGAACTTTTGCTATGCTATCTGTCTGGTGTTGCTGTAATGTGTCGCACTACTGTTGTAAATTCTGTGTTTTGTGAAGGAGAAACAGCGGTGGTTGGAGCAGTATAGTTGCGGAGAGATGAGACGGGATTTCAGATGGTCACCCGTGAAGCCTAGTGGAGCCTGCACACCTGTAACTCGGAGGCTCCTGTGGCGTAATCCCAGACAGCAGTGGTGTAGTGAGATTAAGGATGCCTCACTTGGCGTTTAAGGCGCACCTGTTTACCTGTGTGGTCAGGGAGTACTTCCGTGTGCAGCAGGTAGGCTTGAGTATGAGAAACTTGCAGTGGATTTTCAAAGCCTTCAGGGCCTCCTTTTCTCGCCTTCACGGCATTAGAATTGGAACAGTGATCATCCAGTTGCGTTATGCTCGGTGGCTGCCACTGATGTGTTTTTAGTTTGTTTTAAGCTTAGCGCTGCGTGGTCTTTTAGTGGCTCAAACCCACGTAGACCGGTTTTTAGCTTTTAGATGCGTGTGTCAGGAACGTTCATGTATGAGTGATAGCGCTATATTTTAGAGTTGTGTGTGAGTTTAGTTGACGTCGGGGCGTCGTCAAAACTTTGGGGGGATGAATGTGGCAAGCTGGACTTGGCCACCATATTTCTGTCCAGTAGAGGGCGCCTACGCCCAGTATAAATAGCCTAGATTTACGTCTTTTGCGTACCTCTGCACTTCCGTCTCTTGTGTGTCGTCGCGCCAGCCCTTCTCCTGCTCCAGTGCCGCGGTGTGGCATTGTGCCCCGCGAGTCCTCCTTGTGCACGGCCACACTGTCCAGTCGCTTTGGTGTCTGGCCGCCCTCATTGCTGGGGTCCGAGTGCGTCGTAGCCGGCTGTTGGTCTGGGCCTGTAAACCGCTACTCGTCAAGAGCTGTTTCTCCCGCTGTTTCTCCTGCTGTCTCTTGTTTTTCACCATGTTGTATGTTTCCGTGGTGTGTTGTTCACCTGTACCCCTGAGTCCTTTGCGACAGGAAATGTGACAACGCGTGAAACCTAAAGAGAACTATCACAACTTAATAAATCAAAGTAAACGTAATGTCTATGCCTCTCAATTATGATTTACGAACCTGTGCGCCTTAGAGCGCTTTATATTTTATTTTGGGCACTTTGCCCTGGCGTTGCTGGTTTTTCTTTCTCATTTATATTTTCATATTATTTAAGGAGCGCGTAGCAGCCTCCACTTTGCCACACTAGCACATAACCTGATTGTACAGAGACGGGAATACAAAGTGCTGCAACTGTTGTTGTGTCCTTTGACAAGACACTTCACCTATTATGGCCTAAGTTTGGAAATGTGGCACATTAGGCTTCCATCAGGCAGCTCAAGGGCAGCTGTGGCTACAATAGTAGCTTGCCACCTTTGTGTGCAGAGGGAATGAGTAATGCACAACAAATAAAAAAGCGTGTCTGAAAAATGGATATATAAATAAAGATTTACTCATCTACTTTCTTACACCTTAAAACGTTAGCGCTTACTTGTAAAAGTTACAAATTGCTGCCAAAGTGCTTGCCTTTCACCTTGAAAGTTTCATGTTGTGCTAAAATGTTCTGTTTTCAAAGCCTGATTAGAAGTAATTGCATTGTTTCACCAGGACTGCCTTAAAACAAGTGTTTAGTACAACTGTTTACTTTCATTGCTTTTAGAGGCAAACATAAAGAGAAATACAATCAAACACCTTAGGGTAGAAGTTGCTTTCTCAGCAATAACAGTTAAAAGCCTTTGTGGAACGCAAAGAGCCATTTTTAGACTGCAATTAGGGAGACTTTAATCACTTTTGACTCCTAGCTCCTTCTGTTTGAGTGCGTATGTGTGCTCACATGAATAAAAAATAGTACATTATGAAATGTTTCTGCTACCTTTAAATGATATATAATCATTACATGTGATGTGTTGTTGTGGAATCATGTTTATGAGTTGAATTCATCCACAGTTGACCGACATCACCAGCCAGACGCCAAAACGGCACATGTCTAAATATCTATACAGCACTATACACAAAGTAAATGTAAACCCAGTATACTCTTAAGTTGTCTAGATAAATGACTATCTTCACTCTTTCTTATCTAGGTAAGTAAGAGTAGCTAACACCATTTTGCTTCTTTACTCACCCTTGGTAGATAAAAGCATTTTCCTGGGCTTTCTTGTTTTAATGGAAATGTTATTTGGTGTGCTCTGTTGGCGCCGCTTCGCTCATTTCATTTTGAGTTCCATACTGTCGGATACAGTTACTGAACTTGTATTAACAGTATAGTGTTAATACTAGGGCTGTCAAACAATTAACAATTTTTATTTTATTTTTTGTTTTTTTTTTCATCGAATTAATTACGGGGCGACAGTAGCTCAGTTGGTAGAGCATTGGCCTTTGGGCCTGCAGGTCGTGAGTTCGATTCCCACCATGGGACCTACTCCAACTGCTCCCACTGATGACTGCTGTCGTTGTGTCCTTGGGCAAGACACTTAACCCCACGTTGCCTGAAGCCCCCCGCTGAAAGATCAAGGCGGTTTCTCAACTGATGGAGCAGCCATCTTCCTGTGGACTCACCCCCTGCAGAAGATCAGCGAGGGACTGGTGCTATGAGTGTTGGGTGGCAGCTCTCATTGCCAACCCCCCGACCCAGAAATGGACAAAGGGGTTGAAAATGAATTAAATGAAAAATGAATAGAGTTAATTACAGCTTAAAAATGTATTAATAGTAGATAATTGCATTTCAAACTATCGGCAAAATGATGCCATATTTTTCTATAAATGGTTGTTTCAATGGAAAGATACATGTCAACATAGTGTACATATGTACTGCATTTGTTTATTATAACAATAAATCCACATAAAATGGCATTCAAATTATTAACATTCTGTCTTTCTGTAGTAGACAGCTAAAGCCTCCTCTTTCTTTTTTTTCTCTGTCTCAGAAAGGCTGTGGAAAAACTAGGTACCCCAGCTTTAATTTAGCGAGTGTAGTTTTGAAGCGGGAGGAGACACGGACACTTATGTGTGTATTACGCACAGGTTACGAAAAGCTCTAGGGCTGGGCGATATGGCTGAAAACTATATCACGATATATGTCATTCATATCGGTCGCTAACAATATATATTGATTGTTTTATTTTTTTACCTAAATAAATACATTTTTCGTGTGGGCTAACAAACTCTAGCAGACTTGTTTACAGTCACGGGGGAATGAGGCTGGAGGAATATGTTCACACTGTGTCCCCCGTTAGTCCTGGTTTAATCCTGGTTTAGTCCTGGTTTAGCTCATGGTTTAGCTCCTGGTTTAGCTGTTTTTCGAGGGTCTTGTGTCCCCGTGACCGCTCCATGCGGCTCTCTGTGTGCCTCACATGCTTCCCGAGGAAAAAGTTAATCTCTTGCTTTCGCCGAATTCGTCGGGTCTGTCCAAATGGACGCTACGCATGGTGCGTGAAAATAGTGAAAAACGCAACTGACGTCAAAGATAAGACAAGAGATCCTTTATTCGTCCCACAGTGGGGAAAATTCAATGTTGCAGCGCACATTCAGGACAGTAAAAAGAGCACACTTTTGACTTTGTTCGTTGTGTCATTGTCCTCCAAATAAATCAATTAAAGAAAATAAATACAAAATTGTAATTGATTTATCTTGTAAAACGTGTTCACTGCAAATTTGGGAGTATTGGATGGCTCCCAG